CCACCTCCTTTCCGTGCGAGGTCTGCCAGCTGCTTGGCCTCATTTGCGGTGAGCTGGCTCTGGGGCCCGACGGGGAGAGGGGGTGCCCTGGCAGCTGCGCCTCTAGGATGCCCACCTCCATGCCCAGCTCCAGCAAGCTGTCCAGGACCTCCAGGGGGCCCATGGAGAGGACGCGAGTGCTTGGCCCAAGGAGCCGCCGAGGAGAAAACGCCAGGAGGGGCCTGCGACCACACCCCGCTCTGTGGGGCTCCACCATCAACAGGGCGAACAGCAGCGAGAGGCGCCCCACAATGCTTGCAGTAGCGGGCCGCCTTGGGGTTCTTCGCGCAACCACAAGAGCTGCACTTGAACTTAGAATATCATTCTGCAATCGTGTCCGAGTGCATGTAGGCGCCGTAGTGCCAGGGGGGGCGGCCGTGCCGCTGGACCAGTCCTCGCGAACTCGTCCTTTGCCACGCCCGTCACTTTTAGCACCACCATTGCGCAAGGCAGGCGGGGGTGTCATACACCCCGAAATCAATCACTGAGAAGATCCGAGCCACAAGGCCCGTTGACGCAGTGTGCCGCTCTGAAGTTCGCGTCAACAAGCACAAAACTTGTGCCAGAACGGCTGGATGAGGAGGAGGAGGAAGAGGAGGAGGACGAGGAGGAGGAGGACAAGGAGGAGGCAGGAGGAGGAGGAGGAGGAGGAGGAGGAGGAGGAGGAGGAGGAGGAGGAGGCTGATGAGGGAGGCTAAGGGTTGGCCGACCCGACCCTAACCCAAAACCTCTTGGCGCTGAGCCACCAAGGAGGAGGCCCCTCCCCTCCTGGGGCTGAGCTGCCGCGATGGGCCCGCACGCCTCCCCCAGGAGCATCTAAAAGGGGCAGGGAGGGAGGGATGGGACGCGCAGGGACATACCTCGTATTAGGTTGGGCATGACCTCCTCCAAACGGATGTTTGACGACAAAGAAAATGGCATTCATACAGAATGCTCAAACATGATCAAACCTAGTAAATAAACAAACTCGTCCCCATACTACGTTTTGTCTGTGTTGGTGGATTCCTCCTGTATATGGGCACGCCCGACTTAATACTAGTACCGTGTGTCCTCCTCGGAGGCGGGCGCCCGACCCGAACATCCAGCATTATCATCTTGCAGTATATCGTTTCCCGAACGCTGTGGCCAGCAAGCGTCCGCCACGGCGCACGTACTATGAGATTTCTCGGTGCGTGCGTCGCCCCTTGGGGGGGGGGGGGGGGCGACGCGCACAAAGTATTAGTACAATGGAGGCCAGTCCACAAGACACCTTCCGCAAGAAACCAAGCCCTGAGATCCCAGGACGTCCATCGGTTTTTGGTGTGGGAGCGACACGCCTTCCGCAGCACAGCACGAGGGACGAGGGTCCCGAGGGAAGCGGGTCGACGCCGGGGCCGTCTACTGGACCAGCTGTGCTCTTCATCCCGAGTCAGGGGAAGCACAAGCACAAGCATAAACAAGCATAAACTGTTGGCGCTCCGCGCGGATTTCTTGCATCTGCGCTGGGCCACCCTTCCTGGCGCGCGGAGCGCGCCAGGGGGCGGCGCTGGAGGCGCCGCCGAGGGGGCGTGTCAGCGCGGATATAAGAAGTCCGCGCGAAGCGCCCACAAAGTCTTTATGTTTATGGTTAGGTCGGGCCTGTCCCCCTACAGGGGGTGCTGGAGCGAAAAAACACAACATACGCTTAAAAATGCTCCCAAATGGTCAAAACATACGGAAAAATCGTCCCTAAGCTATTTTTTCTATTTTTGGGTATTCCTCTCCTATAGAGGGACACGCCCGACTGGAGTTTGATCTTCTTCGACGAGCGTTCTCTGACGGCCGTGGGGCGCGAGGAGGGCCCCGGGGAGACCGACGGCGAGAGACACCCGCCGGGACTCTTTTTCGCTCGGGCGGCGTCCAACGGACGTCCTCGCCGATCCCGGCGAGGCCCCCCCAAAGAATAAACGCCGCCACCACATCGATTCCTCCTCTCTCCTCAACCCTCCTGCTCCTCTCCTCTTTCCCGAGAGGAGGGGGGAGGGTGAGGGAGGTGGTGGTGGTGTAGATTTTTGGGCCCCCCAGATCCCAGGGCCCGGGAAAACGTGCGAGGCGAGGGCGTATACCTCGATCCGGGGCACGAGATCGGACAGGCCAAGATTCGGCGGCGAGCGAGGGGGGGAACAAGAGGAAGGAGAAGGCCTTCCAAGGAAGGCGGCGGGACTTCTCAGAAGCCCTCGCGCCTTCCGAGAAGCTCTTGTCTGTCTTCGGGGAAGGCTTGGGCAACTTCTCAGGAGGCCAGGGGACTTCTGAATCTTCTGGGAAGGCCTTCTCCTTCTCACTTCCCCCCTCCCGCTCGCCGCCGAAGGATCGGTGGTGGTCAGTACCCCCCTCAGAACGGGCCTCCTGTCTTGTCCCCGTACGATCTGCCAAGGTTTCGAAACCTAAGGACCCCGAAGCAGCAAACTTCGGAACTGAAACGTGCGGGCACCAACCGAGCCAAGCCGGAAAGTGCACGACACCGAGGGGAGACGAAAGGGAGGCGCGCTGGGATCTGGTCGAACCGAGCGAAACCGAACTGCTACCTCCGTGTACTTTCCTCCGAGCAGAACACCCATCTTGAGGCCGTTCAATGCTGTCCTGCATCGGGGGCGGCCAAGAGGGAGGCGTCAACGAGGGGGGGCGCACATCATGGCCGGCGGCATGTGTGCGGCCCAGGGGGGGACCCAGGGACGTAATGAAATCAGAAGAGGCGCCATGAAATCTGAGGAGGGAAACATCGGCGATGCATCGCCGATGCATCGGCCATGCACTGGCGACGTCGGCGATGCATCGGTGACGTCGGCGTGGAGAACAACAAGTGACCCACATCGAGCCGCATCGCTGATGCATCGCCGATGCATCGGCGATGCGGCGCGATTCTCCGACCCCAGCTGGGATGAAGCAGCGCATCCTTCCTGTGGATGTTGTTGACTCAGTATCGTTTGACCGATGGCCCATCCCCAGCGGCGTGGCCCGGGCCCCACTTGCCGATTTACCCCCTTACATGGGGATGTAGGCCGTCCCCTTCGGGTTTTGAGGGGTTAAACCATACCGATTGACTGCAATAGGGGGCCACTTGCGAACCCTACCCCTACCCCCCACGATTTCTAAGGGGGAGGGTGGGGTTCGCTTCGCTCGGAAGCTCCCGAGCGAAGTGAACCCCACCCTCCCCCTCAGAAGTCGTGGGGGATCGGGCTGGGGTTCGCGTGTGGCCCCCGAGGAGCGTTTAAATCATACGGATTGACTGCAACTCTCTACGAGGCGCGGCTCACGGGAGAGGCCGCTGCAGCTGGGGCCCGCCGGGCGCTCCGGGAGCCGCCGGAGGCGCCCAGGAAAGTTCCGCAAAGGGGAGCCGGCCGGGGCGGCGCGAGGCCCCGCGGAGGCCCCCGAGAAGAGGCGGAGAGGCCCAGACGCCTCGAGCCACGAAATCCGGGCCTCGAGCCCCGAAGCCCGAGGGTCTGGGGATCACCTGCTCATCATCATCATCATCATCATCATCATCATCATCATCATCATCATCATCAGCATCAGCATCATCATCATCATCATCATCATCATCATCATCAGCATCAGCATCAACATCAGCATCAGCATCAGCATCAGCATCATCATCATCATCATCATCATCATCATCATCATCATCATCATCATCATCATCATCATCGCCATCATCACCATCACAATCACCATCAGCATCATCGCCAGAACCATCACCATCAGCAGAGCTTCCACCATAACCATCGCAATCAGAATCATCATCATCACCATCAGCATCATTAGCACAACAGCCAACATCACCATCACCATCACCATCACCATCACCATCATCATCATCATCCTCATCATCACTATCACCATCACCATCATCACAATCACTATCACCATCATCATCATCAGCATCATCATCATCATCACCATCAACATCATCATCAGCATCATCATTAGCATCATCATCAGCCTCCTCCTCCTCATCATCATCATCATCATCAGCAGCAGCAGCAGCATCAACATCAGCATCAACAGCATCAGCATCAGCCTCCTCCTCCTCCTTCTCCCCCCTCTCCTCCGCCTCCCCCTCCTCCTCCTCCTCCTCCTGTTCCTCCTCCTGTTCGTGCTCGTGCTCCTCCTCCTCCTCATCCTCCTCCTCCTCCTCCTCCTCTTCCTCCTCCTCCTCCTCCAACTCCTACAATTATCCAATATGAATACTACTCTCCCTCTTCCCCTGACGACGGATTGAAAATGCCGACAACCCTCCGGCGTACTGTTTTTGTACACACACACAGGTTTCCCTGGATTTGGGCTTTCGCCTGCAATGTTTCCAAAATGCTGCTCTCGCTGAGGCGACGGCCTCATTTTCGGGCCCCGCTCGTTCCGAATCGTGCTCCCGCTGCAGCGCTGGCCTCATTTCCGTGCTTCCGCTCGTTCCGAATCGTGCTCCCGCTGCAACACTGGCCTTATTTCCGCCCTTTCGCTCGTTTCGACTCGTGCTCCCGCTGCAGCGCTGGCGTCAGTTCCCGTGCCATGCCACGGCATTAGGTTGATACTACGCTTTGCGGTGCTCTTCTACACCATGCCATGCCGTGCTCTACGATGCATCGCGTACCCTTTCGGGTCATTGCCCTGCTCGGCATCCGACTGAGCGAGTAGAGAGGGGATCTGCGCCATGGTAAGGGATGGGAGGGAGAGGTAGGATGTCAGGTATGGCGCGAGCGCACCTAGCTTGCATCCTCCCCCTCTTCCTCCTCCCCCTCCTCCTCCTCCTTCTCCTCCTCCTCCTCTGCCTCCTCCTCCTCCTCCTCCTCCCCCTCATCCTCCTCCTCCTCCTCCTCCTCCGCCTCCTCCTCCTCCTCCCTCCTCCCCTTCTCCTCCTCCTCCCCCTCCCCCCCCTCCTCCCCGTCCTCCTCCTCCTCCTGTTCCTCCTCTTCCTCCTCCTCCTCCTCCTCCTCCTCGGGAGGGCCCGCCTCCTCGAGAGACGCCCTGTTCGCGGGGTCCTCGCCGAAGCCGCCTCGGCGAGGCGGGAAAGAGAGGATGGCGATGGCGGGCCGCGCATTCGGATCCCCACCTCCTCCTCCTCGCCATCGCTCTCGGGGAGGGGTTCCTCCTCGTCATCGTCCTCCTCCTCCTCCTCCTCCTCGTCTCCGTTCTCCTCCTCCTATTCCTCCTCCTCCTCCTCCTCCTCCTCCTCCCCCTCCTCCTCCTCCTCCTCATCATCATCCTCCTTTTTCTCCTCCTTCCCCTCCTGTTCCTTCACCTCTTCCTCCGACTCTTCCTCCTCCGCCATCCCCCCCAAACTCTTGGCGTCCTATTCTTTCGTGTCCTCTTTCTCTTCCTCCTCCTCCTCCTCCGATTCGCCTCGTCGTCGTCGTCCTCCTCCTCCTCCTCTTCCTCCTCCTGTTCCTCCTCCTCCTCCTCATCCTCCTCCTTCTCGCCATCGCTGTCGGAAAATGGTTCCTCCTCGTCCTCGTCCTCATCCTCGCCCTCTTCCTCGCCGCCTTCTAGCCATGCAAGTGTAGGCCCATATGTTCGCTGGCGGTAGGCGAAACCATGTTGGCCAGCAACATTTCAGACCCAAGACCAGATAGGCGGAAGACCAACTACGGGAATCGCAATATGGTTTCTGGCCTGCCCGTGGCACCAGCGACGCACTATTCTTGGTGCCGAAACTCATTGATCCTGTTTCTGAGGTCGCAAACTGTAAACTTATCTTGCTGCTGCTACACTTGAACCGAGCTTTTGATCGAATACGACCAGCGGGACTACTGTTCGCACTCCGCCACTTCAGGGAGCTGTCCGCCGTGCTGAACATGCTGCCGATTAACACAAGCGCGCAAGTTCGTCGTCAAACATGGGGCAAGAACCTCATCGCAACAGACTCAACAGGCTGGAATCGCACAAGGTTGTCCTGTGTCTCCTGGCCTCTTAGTAATCGTTATGTGGGTGCTCCGCGAGGCCGCCGGCGAAGAATTCAACGCGCTGACGGGCGCCTTCACCGCCTGTGGTCACCAATGACGTGCTCTACTCCGACTGCACGCTGTTCGTAGCACAGTGTCTTGAGTCGCGTCAGAGATGTTGATATCGTGTCAAGCACTGGGAACATGGTTGGGCTCGACTTGCACACTGTAGAAAAATTAGTATGGACACTAGAGTAGGACGCTACGGTTGTGGGGCCCGCAGGGGGAAGAAGTCCAATCTCAAGACAACGCCGCTTATCTTGGTTGTCTTTTACGCGCAGATGGCAGGACCAATTCTGAAATAACGCGCCGTCTCGGAGAAGCAAAAGGGGCAATTACAGGTTATGGATTGTCTGGGACCACCATATCCAAAGATCACAAGCCACGAGTACAGCAAGCGTGTCTTTTCGAATAATATTGCGTATCAGTACCAGAAGACAAACAAAAACGATGGACGTCGAACCACATGCTTTCCAACATAATTAAACATCGAAGCGGCATTCTTACATCTCATCAACGTTGCGCACGTCTGGCATGAAACACAATCTCCTCCATTGTCAGATAGATCAATGGACTGACAGCTTAAATACCATGGTAAATTAGCAGGGGCACCGTCGCAATCGTGGCCGAGAGCATCAGGTTTGCAACCAGGCCAGGTGCACTCGAACGCCGCGGGAATGGCGGCCCCTGAAGAACCGAGGCAAAACGCGCTTGCACTGGACCAGCTACAAGCACGCCCGCGCGCCGAATGCCGCGGGAGACGACCCCGACACCCTGCTGATGTCGTTGAATGCCCCAAAGCATTGCTGCACAGACTCAGTGTGACTGAGACGAGTTTCCTTGCTCTGCCCCTTCGCCTTCATCCCCCTGTCTCCCCCCCGCTTCCTCACCTCCCTCATGAGACGGGGTGGTGGTGTTCACCCGCGCGCACCACTTGCGCAACGCCTGCAAGTGGTTGCCAACCGAGGCTCAACTGTCCCCTCCCCGCCTCCTGCCCTCCCTCTTGACACGGGGTGTCGCAGTGCGCCTTTGTGTACCGCTTGCGCAGCTCCTGCAAGTGGTTACCGACCGAGGCTCAAAAACCACATCCCAAAAATAAGTTCGAGCACCCAGAACAATGTCGAAACAATGCCGATGGGGTATCGCCTTCCGGGGCCCTGCGCGCGACAACCATTCAGTGTTGGTACTTTCTCGGCGCTTGGAATTCTTCCTGGCGATCACGGCCAAAGTAGGTTGGACCATCATAAGCAATTTACTTTGACCTCTGCGAACTCACCGCTGACTCACAAGCTGGCAGCACGGGAACTACCAGCAACACCACTAATCAACACTATTATGACAGTGTGGGGCCTGGCAGAACGCACGACCTGCAACTCACCAGCTAGAACTCGAAACCGTCAAAGTCGAAACTGTCGAGCGGGTCACTGTCGTCATCGGAACACTCCACGGCGTACCGAGGGACAAGAGCACCAGCATCCGCACAAGCCATGCGCACACCTCCTGCCGAAGAGCCGTCTGGTCGCGGCTCCTTGTGTGCCTGTGCTGCTCTGGCGCGCGTGCCGGGCCCGCTCCGGGTTGCCCCTCCGCGCGGAAGGAACAGGACCCGAGGAGGGCCCGGCCGAGACCACGGCGGCCCCCCCCATATCGCGGTTTCCGCGCTGCTCGCCGGTTCCCGGAAGCCTCGCGTCGCCACTTGCTGGATCCGCCTCGAACCTGAGGGGCCTGCACGGAGCCAGGGAGGGTCCAGAGACCGATGTCTCGCCCTTGCCTCCTGCTGTCTCTGCACGAGGAAATGGGCGAGTGCGTGAGTGAATGAATGGATCAGCCTGGCGAAGGACCCAACCATATGCAGTTGTGAGTATACCACAACTGTGGGCATCGTATTCCGTGGAGCCCCCTTTCTGGGGCCACGGAACGCCGCACTGGGTGGGGGAGACGCATGCGAACTGCTCTGGGGCCACGAAGCGCTGTACTGGGCGGGGGGGGACGCATCCGAACTGCGCCAGTGAGACCTTCGGTGGAGCTCCCTTTGGGGCCACGAAACGCCGTACTGGGCGGGGGAGGCGCCTGCGAACTGCGCCCCTGGGACCTTCCGTGGAGCTCCCTCTGGGGCCACGAAACGCTGTACTGGGCGAGAAGGACGCATGCGAACTGCGCCCCGGGGACCTTCGGTGGAGCTCCCTATGCGGCAACGAAAGGCTGCATGTACTGGGCGGGGCTTCTGGGTCCAGGGCTATGAGCAAAAATACCTGGAACTTGAAATGTTCTCCATGGGATGGGGTCGAGAGGTTCAGGGGCCTTGCGACGTAGAGAACTCTGAGGCCTCGCGCAAGCATCTCTTCCTCGAAACGAGTCGCAAGGACGCATATAAACCCTGCCACTGATGCCATGGGTGGAGCTCTTTCTTGGGCCACGGAATGTGTGATGGGTGCGCTGAAATTAATCGGGGGACGCATGTACACCCTGCCAGTGGGGTTTTGCGTGGAGCTCCCTGTGGGGCCACGAACCGAATACGTGCTGTGCCGTCGAAATGAGCTGCTGGGACGCATGTAAACGCTGCCACTGGGGCCTTCGGTGCAGCTCCCAATGGGGCCACGAACCGTGTGAGGGGAATGTCGAAATTAGTAACGGGGGCGCATGTAAACCCTGCCCTGCCACTGGGGCCTTCGGTGGAGCTCCTTATATCAGGCCACAAAACATGTGAAAGGTGTGACGAAATGAAACGCTGGGACGCATGTAAGTCCTGCCATTGGGGCCTTCTGTGGAGCTCCCTATGGTGCCACGAGCCGTGTGAGGGGTGTGCCGAAATGAGCCTGGGCCGCATGTAAACCCTGCCATTGGGGCCTTCAATGGAACTTCCAATGGGGCCACAAACTGTGTGAGGCGTGCGCCAAAATGAGTCGCGGGAACGCATGTAAAGCCTGCCATTGGTGCCGTCGGTGGAACTCCCGATGGTTCCACGAACCGCGTGAAGGGTGTGCCGAAATGAATCGCGGCAACGCATGTAAACCCTGCCATTGGGGCCTTCGGTGGAGCTCCCTATGGGGCCTCAAGCCGTGTTAGGGGTATGCCGAAATGGAGGCGGCGGTGCCATGTGAACCCTGTCGCTGGGGCCTGCGGTGGAGCTTTCCATGGGGCAACGAAACGTTAGGGGAGTGCCGAAATGGATGGCACGGACGCATGGGATGATGATGATGGTGATGGTGATGGTGATGGTGATGGTGATGATGATGATGATCATGATGATGATGATGATGATGATGATGATGATGATGATGATGATGATGATGATGATGATGATGACGATGATGATGGTGGTGGTGGTGGTGACGATGATGAGGATGAGGATGGAGGATGGAGGGGGAGGAGGAGGGAGAAGGGGAAGGAGGAGGAAACGAAGAGGTGGGACGCGGGGTGCTGTCTCTTCAAAACGAGGGCCCCACACCACAGGATGGTTGGGACTGAATGCATGAGCGAGTCAATGAATGAATGAACGGACTTGGGCCAGGCAAGTTAGTGGCCGTTGTCTCAAATGGCGCCCCTCCGAGAGAAGGCTGACGACGAGGGCGAAGCACAGAAACCGGTGAACACATGACTTTGAACAAGTGGCCGCAGGCCAGAGAAGTCCAGCCCCCCATGCCAGCTTTCACGCGCCCTGTTCGCAGGGGCTGGCTACTCGGTGGGAACTCGCGGCGCTATTGCCCAAGAGCGCGGCTGCAGGCGTGGATGGTCAACTGTCGGGGGCGCGCAAACATGGATTAGCGATAAATGGATTTGTCGCGCGGTCGCCTAATCCATGGATCGGGAGAGATGCCCTCCCCAAAATGCGGCCGGTGCCGCCTCGCTCGGCGGCGGAAATCCGCGACTTCCCGTGGAAGCGGGACCCGTCGCTAATCCATGCCCCCTTAATCCATGTTTGCGATCGCCTGAAAATGGCGTGGGAGCGCGGCAACAAAAACGCGGGTCAAGAACAGGAGCTCCTTTGCCGAAGGCCCCACGGAAGTGCCCCAGAGGAGAGGCATTTCAAGGTGGAGGGCCCACTCACGAATAGCATCAGGCTACTTCGACAATACCAATGAGGTCCTTAACCTCAGGTCGGGCATGTCCTCCCACAGGCGGATCTGGGACGACAAATAAGACATGGTCAAACATACATACACAGAACTATAGTCTACAAAGACTCGAAACATCTTCCCCAGACTACTGTTTTTGACTATTTTGGAGCATTCCTCCTACAGAATAACAGGCCCGACATAACCTTCCTCCGGGTTTCTTAATAAGCGCGGGGGGGTACCCCCCCGACGGGGGTCAACCTCGCCTCGTCGTCGCGCCGCGACGGGGGTCGGAGCGCCTTCGGCGCGCGGTGGCTGCCCGCGACGGGGGTCGATGTAGGGCTGTCGGCGGGGGTGACACCCCTCCGACGCTGATGAGTATCGCTTATCCGATCCCCATCCCCAGCGGCGTGGCTTGGGCCCCACTGGCCGATTTACCCCCCTACATGGGGATGTAGGCCGTCCCCGTCGGGTTTCGAGGGGTGTATCCCCAACTGGGGTGGCAATTTGGTGGGGGTCTCGAAGGAGATGGGGATGGGGATGGGGATAGGGGATAAACGACACTGCGCTTACTAAGGAACTCGGGGTAACCGCCGCGCTGGGACGCTTGATACAACGGACGGCCCAGCGAGCCTCTCCGATCGGCGCGGGCCTCCTCTCCGCCCCTGCCCCTGCCTCCGCCCGCCCCTTCCCTTTCTCCCCCCCTTCGGGGGCTCGAGCCTCTTTGTTCTGCTGCGTCAAGGTCGGGGACGTCCCCCTACAGGCGGACGTTTGACAGCAAACCGTCAACAATAATCAGAAAGTCGTCCCCAGCTTATTTTTGTTTGACGATGTTTGGCGATTCCTCCTGTAGAGCGACATGCCCGACTTAATTGTGCGTCGACCTACTAGCTCGGCTGGCCAGCTGTAGAACAGAAGCAGCATGGAGCGACTGTTGATTATAACACTAGGACCCCTACCCCTCTGGAAGGGGACCTACAGTGGAGGCCAGTCCACGAGAAACCTTCCACAATAAGCCCAACCCCGAGACACCAGGACGTCCATTAATTTTTGGTGTGGGAGCATCACGCTTTCCACAGCAAAACCATCGAAAAGCAAGGAACCAAGGGTACCCTGAGGCAATCAGGGTGTTTCTTGGCATGGGCCTCTACTGTCAGCTAGGAGGGCCTCAAACATTAGGGATAGGGGGTCTCTTATGAAGTTGTATCGAACCAACACGCCCAGATCTACTGCCCCTGATGCGAAGACGGGGACCTCAGTGAGGCTGCGTCCTCGTCGTGCTATTAGAGTTAGGGGTCCTCCGATCCTCGATGGGTGTGCCAATATCCCTGCAACTCTCTGCGGCACGACTCGACTCGGACCGAAATGCGGCGGTAGAAGAAGACACACGGCACAAACATAAGCTTTTGGCGCTCCGGAACGGGTCGAAAGCGTCTGGTGCGAAACGGCCGCGGCGCCCGGACCTCCGGGGAGGCGGAGGAGGAGAGGCATTCGAGGGACTGGGGAGAAACGGCACCCCCCTGAGCTTGAAGGCGCACGAGACGACAAAGAATGCGATGATGAACCGGAAAAGGACCCCCCTGACACTTTGGGAGGGGTCCCAAGTTAGGAGGGCCAGAAACGTTAGACACAAGGGGGCTGTTCTGCACATGTATCAGTCGGGGATGGACATCAGGCCCAAACATGGCGGGCGCAAGCCTGGAAAATAACGGCCGCGGCGCCCTCTCGAGAACCGAAAACGGACAATTCACTAATCGACGTGTCAGGGTAGGAGGTCTGTCCACCCCCGAAAAGACGGGGACCTCAGTAAGGCTACGCCTTCATCATCGATGATCGGCTCTTCTCTTCTCGGTGATACGAACCGCGCGAGACGGAGGATCGACTTCACGAGGGAGGCGGAGGAAGAGAGGGGGGCGAGGGACGGCGGTGCGCGCTCCCGCGCCGCCGGCCCGCCGTCTGCGGAGGCCGTGGACGCGACCCTCGCGAGCTTGTCCCTCTCCTGCATCGAAGCAACCCTCGCCGCGGAGGAGGCCATGGAGGCCACGGAGGCGACCTCGTCCCTCTCCTGCATAGCCGTGAGCCCGCGCAGCTTGCCCTCCGGCACGCCCGCCTGAGGGAGCGCCGCCGCGGCCGTCTGGCACTTGCACAATACGAGTGCGCCCCCCTCTCCCCCCTGGAGACCCCGAGGTCGTAGCCTGCCCCCTCTCCGCGTGCTGTTTTCCCTTTACACAAAATCATCGATTACATGTGTATATCCGCCGCAGAAGTCTTCGGTGTTTCAAGAGTGGCGCGCCCGCCACGGCGTTGGCGCTTTTCTCTGACTCTCGGCCCTTCCAAACCATGGTCCCACTGCAACGCTGGCCTCATTTCTTTGTTGCTGACATATCCCGAATCGCACTCTCGCTACAACGTTGGCTCTCATGCTGCGCTTCCGCTCTTGCCGAACCGTCCCTTTACATGGTTCGTTTTACGTCATGTCTGGTTTACGCTTCCGCTGTTTCCGAACCGTTCATTTACGTGTTCGTCTTGCGTCATGTCTGGCTTCCCTCCAAACATGTTTCGCTCTGCCGTGCTCTTCTACGCCGTGGTACGCCGTGCACTACCATGCATCTCGTACCCTCTTGGGATCAGTGCCCTGCCGGACATCCGACTGTGCAAATAGAAAGGAGATCTACGCCATGGTAAAGGATGGGAGGGCTTGTCTCTCCCCCTCCCTCCTCTCCCCTCTTTCCTGATGCCGCCCCCCCTCCCTCTCTACCCCGACTCATGATCTCCTTTACTCTCCCTCCACCTGCTCCTTGTTTGGCACCCCGTTGGCATCACTGCTGTCTGTCACAACCAGGAAGGCTCGCCAGAACCACGAGAGGGTAAGTGCTTTTGGACTGCATGGGTGACGCCTTGGACACCCATCCTCGGACCGGCGCTTTGCCCCCGTCGGTCAGACTGGCGCTCTCGTCTCTCCGGATCCGAATCCTTTTCTTCATCGGTGTCCCCCCCTTCATTTCGCCCCCTCCGCCTGGCCCGGCCCTCCAGCTCTTCAACTTCCTTTCACTCCAGTTCCTGCTGCTGCTCTGGTTGTAAAGATCTTGTAGAAGACTTCTATGGTTTGCTGCATCCAAAGATCGCCATGCTGACAGTTTGGCGCGTGCCTTCCCAACATAATCTCACAAAACCTTCTAGGACGCCTCTCGGGGCCCATGTTCGCGCGCGAGCTGAAGCCGCGGAGCTCACGGAGTGCGCGCGGGAGTGGCCGACAGAAGCCCCATGGCTGTAAGTACTGCCGAGTGGAAGGAAACATGGTGCAGTCCCTGCCATCACATCGTGCTCTTGCGCTGTCGTGCCATCCCCGCAGCGCCGTTGTCTCTGCACATGCCGTCCGTAGCTTCCGGTCCAAGATACTTTGGGTGGTTGAACAGTGCAAGGCACCTGTCCGAGAGAGCTCTGTAGGCAACGCTGCTGGTGGTGCCGCCGCTGCGCTCTCGGCGCCGTCAAAGCCGCCGCCCGGCCCAGGCGCGCCGGAGGAGGCAGCTGGTGTGAAACATTGGCCTGCTCGGCGGCTCCCGAGCGAGACGTTCGGGCCCGGCACTGCTGAGCGCCTGGCTGGTGAACCCTGGGTTCTGGGCGCCAGAGTTGGGTCGGGCATGTTTTCCTACAGGCGGACTTTGGAAAAACGAGTAGGCAAATAGTCAACAAAATACTCACACATAGTCCAAACATACTAGAGAACTCGTCACCATACGATTTGTTTCACCATTCATTAACCTCCTGTAGAGGGACAAGCCCGATTTAACCCCAGAGCCCCCACGGCCTTCCAGCCGCGGTCCGTCGGGGCGCTCTCGGCCAAGGCCGCGCCAACGGCGTGCTTGGTTAACGGTGCAGTTGGGAGTCTGGTTTTTGTGACACGAATTCACGCAGAACAAATGTAAGAAATCACGAAACACCGTCTCCTACATTTCAAAGATGCGAATGTATCAAACGAGAACGACAAAGCGAGTTGTAGGAAAACACGAACCACGCGTTCCTACAATTGTTGTGGCCACGGACCACGCCTTACTGCAATTGGTTTCCCTACATCACCGTCAGCTAACACACCGTTACCGCGACTACGGCTACGCTAACGGTGCGTTAGCTAACACACCGTCAGCTAACACACCGTTAGCGCTCCGCGACTGCAGCTGGGGAAGTGCGGCCGCCGCTCGCACAAGCGCGGAGGTTCGCAGCCGCGCATGGTGCAGGGCGCTTGCCTGCCGCTGCGATGCAGGGCGGAGCCAGCGCAGCCTGCAGTCGGCCCATATCCGAAGGGCCCTCGGTAAGGATCCCGGGGCCTTGGATGGCCTGGATGGCCATGCTGACGTTTTGCGAACGAGGCTCGCCAGCGAAAGCCGCTGAGGATGGGCCGAACGGGCAAGGATGCCAGGGTACCCTTGGAAAGGTTGCCCATCCTTACCAAGCAGGTCGACTGTACCAACCTCCCCCCGCAGCCGCAACCGCGGCCTCAGCTGCAGCTCTTGAGCAAAGACCGACCGTCCCAGCATTCCTATAGTCCTACCACGAAATGCTCTTAGAACCCAAACTTGCTCTACGAACAGAAACAATGCTCTTAGAACATGAACCCGGTGTGTTAAAACAAGACAGTCCCAGCCAGAAATGTTCTAAGAACATTTCGTGGAAACCACAAACGGTTCTTATAACATTGTTTGGTGGGACAGTAAGCGAGCCTGGACGCTTCGCCACTGCTTGAAAGGATGGGCCGAACGGGCAAGGATGCCAGGGTACCCTCGGGAAGGTTTCCCATCCTTACCAAGCGGGTCGACTGTACCAACCTCCCCCCGCAGCCGCAACCGCGGCCTCAGCTGCAGCTCCAGGTGCCCCAGGGCCGTGGCCCGGCCGCTGCGCAGGCCACAGCGCGAGTGCTGCAGCGGGTCCGCGTGGCGAGAAGCGCGCCGCCGCCAGGGCTCCGGCAGCGGTGTGGATGCCATGACAGTGGACATCCGATTCGTCCTATAATTGACTTTTAAATGTGTTTAAAATGTGGGACACATGCTCTAAACATGCCTCAAAAATGCTGTTACATGCTTAAATCATGTTTTTACATGTTCTAGACATCTGGAAACTAGTTGGCAACGTGCTTCCTCTCCATTGAACGTCCTCCAAAAATGGCAGCGGTGGTGGTCACGCTGGGCAAGCTGATTCTTCAGTGCGTGGCCGCGCTGTGGCGGCCCGTGGCTGGCCAGAGCGCTCCGAGCGAGGGACGCGCAGGAAACGGTTGTGAGTGAACTGGTTATCACGGGATTGCAGAGCTGGCGCACGAGCGGCACGGAGGAGGAGGAGGAGGAGTACACGAGTCCAATGCGCCTGTGGGGCAAGGTGTGCTCCAGCGCGGGGGTCGCGCCGTGGCCTCCGTGGGAAACTGGGCTGGGCGCGCTGGCCATAGCGGTGCAGCACGGCCCCACCCTGCCTAGGTACACCTCCCAGCTCATGCCGGTCCTCCGCCTTCGCGCTCTGCAGACTTGAGGCAAAATGCTTAGAGACACAGCGGTGAAAGTGGGGAGGTCGGAGTACCTCAGTGGTGACCACGCGCCGTTCGCCGCGCTCGCGGACACCGCAGAGCTCGTGCGAGAAGCTCTCAAGGCGCCGCGGCTGGAGAGGTTCAAGCCGCGAGCGTCTCCGAAGCACACGCGTGCCGCCATCTTCGGGCGAACCTCGGTGAGCCAGAGGCCGACCACGCTTTTGTCGTTACGCGGCACGGCACGTTTGCTTGAGGTTCGGTTCAAATGTAGTTCCCGTGGAAGCGTCTGGTGAGCACTGCGCGGTCACATTCTCCAAATGAAACAGACAGGCCCAGCCGTGCATCATCCTATTCCAGCGGAAGATGTGTAACTCCGCAGTAGAGGTTGTGAGGAATTGCATTTGCGATTTGGCGACTTCTCGTTTGTTTTATCACTTTCTATTAGTCCCCAACTTCCACTGGCACTGGGAGCAACCCAAGCAACCACTCCGTCCATGGCGCCTTCAAGAGTGGCGCACTTACACCAGGGTCACCTCATTTCAGGGCATCTCGGAGCCAGGGATTCCGAGGATGTCTCAAGCAAAACGGGCCTGAGCACCTCGCGGACCACGTCTTGGAACCCAACTATGCGGACGTCTCAAGCGAAACGGGCCAGAGCACCTCCGTTCAGGGCATCTCGCAGCAGTCCAGGGTTTGGAGGATGTCTCGGGCAAAACAGGCCTGAGTATCTCGCGATGGAACCAAGACTCGAGCGAAACGGGCCAGAGCACCTCGCGAGCCGCAAACACACAAGTGTGACTTGCGAGGATGCCTCAAGCCAAGCGGGCTAGAGAACCCCGAGTCAGGGCACCTCGGAGCCCGCCGTCCCCAGGATGTCTCAAGCGAAACGCGCCTGAGCTCCTCGTGGACCACACTCGCGCCCACACTCTACGCCCAGTCTATGCACACTCTCGCACCACACACTCCACGCCCACACTCGAACCCCACACTCACACCCCACACTCTACGCCCACACCCGCACCCCCCACACACATACCCCACACTCTACGCCCACAATCTACGCATAAACTCGCACCCCACACTCACACCCCACACCGAACCCCAGGTTGATTGACCGACTTGATTAGACGAGTTGATTTCCCGAATTGATTTACATAATTTACCGAGTTGATGTGCAGGAGTTGATTTGCCGAGTTGATTTGCCGAGTTGATTTGCAGAGTTGATTTACAGAGTTGATTTGCCGAGTTGCTTCCCCGAGTTGATGCGTGGAGTTGGCTTGCACGGAACGCTGAGATGGCGAGTTGAATTGGCGTTGACTTCTTGGGCTTTGACTTACCATTCCAACTGCGAAGTGCGAGTTGGCTCCCCGAGTTGGTTTCCCGAGTTGATTTCCCAGGTTGATTTCCCGAGTTGGTTTCTCGAGTTGATTTCCCGAGTTGATTATAGAGTTGATTTGCCGAGTTGATCTAAGAGAGTTGATTTCGCGGGGCGGCCTGCCTAGTTGAGTTCGCAAGTCAATGTGCCAAGTTGATTTGCCGCCTTGGTTTCGCGATTGGAGGTGCCGAATGGATTTCGCGAGTGGTTGTCCGAGCTGATTCCTCGAGTGCGAAGTGCGAATTGACCGCGGGGTGGGCGTCCCCGACTTAGTGCGCCGAGTTGACCCGCGTCTCGCGTTCGTGTCGTGTGGGCGCAAAGCGTGGGGTGTGAGTGTGGGCGCGAGTGCTGGGTGTGAGTGCGAAGTGCGAGTGTGGGCGCACAGTGCGGGGGGCGAGCGGGGGCGAGTGCGGGGTGCGAGTGCGAAGTGCGAGTATGCAGTGCAAGATTGGGCGCCGAGTGTGAGGGGCGGCCAGGCGCCCCGACATGGCTGCTAGCTAGAGAAGCACGATCGCTGCCCCCCACAGACATAGAAAAGCCCTATCACGAAATGCTCTTAGAACTCAAACATGTTCTAATAACAGAAGCGACGTTCTTAGAACATGAAGCCGACGTGTCGAAACAAAACAGCCCCAGCCAGAACTGTTCTAGGAACATCCCGTGCAGACCACAACGAGGTTTTCAGAACATTCCTTGGTGGGCATACAGGTACAAGCCAGAACGCCTCGCCACTGCTTGGGGGCAGGAAGTGCCAGGCTCGCCTCGTGGGTAGATGGCCGAGGGTACCAGCCCGCGCTGCAAAGCGTGGCCGCTTGCGGCCGCCTTTCGCACCCATGTCCCCTGGACGGTTTCCCCCGGGGCCGTAGGCGACCCGAGGAGGGGAGGACGAGAAGGAGGAGAGGGAGGAGGTGGAGGAGGGGGAAGGGGGGGAGGAGATGGGGGAGGAGGTGGAGGAGGAGTAGGAGGAGCAGGAGGAGGAGGAGAAGGAGGAGCAAGAGGAGGTGGACGGGTCGCCTAAGCTCTTTGGAGAAACCCTCCAGTGGGTAGATGGCCGAGGGTACCAGCCCGCGCTGCAATGCGTGGCCGCTTGCGGCCGCCTTTCGCACCCCTGTCCCCTGGACGGTTTCGAACGGGGCCGTAGGCGACCCGAGGAGGGGAGGGCGAGAAGGAGGAGAGGGAGGTGGAGGAGTGGGAGGAGGGGGAGGAGGAGTAGGAGGAGGAGCAGGAGGAGGACGGGCCGCCTAAGCCCTTCGGAGAAACCCTCCAGTGGGTAGTTGGCCGAGGGCACCATCCCGCGCTGCAGAGCGTGGCCGCTGGCGGCCGCCCTCCGCACACCTGTCCCGCCCGCCTGCCCGGTGCGCGCTCGGGCCTCAACTGGCCCTGGGCTGGCGGGCCGCGTCGAGCGGCTCGGCCGGCTCCCCGTTCCAGCGGCGGCTCCGCGCAGTGACCCTGCGTCGGCGCGGTCGCTAGGAGCCAGCACGCAATCCTGCGCTCTGGCTACGCCGCGGAAGCTGATGCGGCGCCTTCCGTCGTGGGCTGCGTCCGTCACGGACGCGGTCCCCGTGCCTGCGCGCTGTGGCCGTGGGAGCTGCACCCTGGATCGAGGAAGATCGAGGAGGAGGATCGAGGAGGATCGAGGAGGCGGATCGAGGAGGCGGATCGAGGAGGAGGACCGAGGAGGAGGACCGAGGAGGAGGACCGAGAAGGAAGATCGAGGGGATGGTCTTGGAACAAGAAGATTCGATGTTGTGCAACGCAGAGAGGCTCATGGCAGGCGCAGAGGCGGGCCGCCACGTGCCCTCTCGCCTGCTGTGTGTGTGCGTGCCCTGCGTGCAGCGCGCGTGCACGACCCGTGCGTGGTGCACCTTGTGACGTTCCAACCTACTTTGGCCTCCTCCTCCTCCTCATCATGATCATTTCCTCCTCCTACTCCTCACCACCACCACCATCATCACCACCAGGGCGACGTCAGCTGACCACCTCACCGGTCCTGGCCAGGCCCAGCCTGCCGAGGGAGAAGCACCACGTCGTGCGCATGAGCTCTCGGAGCTCCGCGCGGACTCCCCCCTGGGATCGGCCCTGGGCTGATGACGTTCCGGCCTGCTTTCGCATCGGTCGCCAGAGAGAACTTCGAGCACCAAGGCAAAGTGCCGAACCTCGAGGGTGTCCACGTGTCGGGCCCTGGGAGGCGACACGCGTTCGACACTGCTTCGATGCTTCTTTTCTGGATGCTCGAAATGATTTCGGGGATGTGGTCCTTCAGTACGATGGGAGCAACATAAGGTGCACCGCAGAGACGGTCACTAACATATTTTGGACGCCCGAAATGGGTGCGGACAAAATGGGTACAATGCCCAACAACAGATGGCAGCGGCCGCTGTTCGGCAGGTGGCTTTCCGTCTTCAATGAGCAACGTCCGCGGCGGCGCGGACAACGAGTGCTGTTCAAAATGCACAGGAACTGCTGTTGGGCATCGTACCCATGATTTCCGTACCCATTTCGATCGCCCCGACATATGACATATGTGCCGTTGCGCTCGTAAGACATCGCCTGAGATTTCTTGAATAAGACTCGCGCGCTTCATGGACGGTTGTCACCACCAATGCCAAGACCATGACGCACGCGCGACGACGCCCATCCCGGGCACCAGAAGCAGAACTAGGAAAGTAACTGAAACATAATCCGTCGAAACCATGGTGTGTCTCACGGAATCCAATGGTCAACGTACCAGAATTAGCGTTTAGGAACGATTCGGGATTAGGCGGGTGCAACCGTTACGTTGATTCGCGGTGTTGAAGTCCCAGGGATGGCGTTCGTGAATTTCGTTTCACCGATCTCCATCCCCAGCGGCGTGGCCTGGGCCCCACTGGCCGGTTTACCCCCCTAGATGGGGATAGAGGCCGTTCCCTTCCGGTTTCGAGGGGTGTATCCCCAACTGGGGTGGTAACTTGGTGGGAGTCTCGAAGGGGATGGGGATGGGGATCGGGGTCGCTGAAACGATACTGAGTTCTGGCACGCTTCAGGACCGTCAAGACGCAACAGTCAGGTTGATCCGTGGCGTTGGAGTCCCGAGACCTGAGAGAAAAAAGGGGTGGCTCACGACGCCCTGCATGGTGGGCTTGTTTTCCACCACCACCACCACCATAAGTAGGAGGGGGAGGGGGTCCTCCTCCTCCTCCTCCTCCTCCTCCTCCTCCTCCTCCTCCTCCTCATCCACCTCCTCCCCCCCTCCAACTCATGGTGGTGGTGGTGGAGAACAGGCCCATCACTGCGTGCCCACAGCGCGGCTGATGAGTCTGTTTGCTGCGCGGCGCGGGCCAGCGGCGCACGCACAGCCCCCCCCCCCCGCCTTCGCCGCTCGCCTGCCCCCCACATACAGCGGGGGCCCGACCACGAGAGACCCGCCACGAGAAACCCAACCCTGAGTGATAATTAGCGTTTAGGAACGATTCGGGATTAGGCGGGTGCAACCGTTACGTCGATTCGCGGTGTTGCAGCCCCAGGAATGGCGCTCTTGAGTCTCGTTTAACCGAACCCCATCCCCAGCGGCGTGGCCTGGGCCCCGCTGGCCGGCCTACCCCCCTAGACTGGGGATACAGGCCGTCCCCTGCCGGTTTCGAGGGGCGTCTCCCCAACGGGGGGGGGTAGTTTGGTGGGGGTCTCGAAGGGGATGGGGACGGGGATGGGGGTCGCTGAAACGATACCGACTGAGACCCCAGGACGTCCCTTGATCTTTGGCGTCGGGACGTCGCGCCCTCCACAGGAAGAACCATCGAAGCCCAAGAAGTTCTTGGGCACCCTGGAGGCAAGCGGGGTGCTTCTTGGCATGGGTTTCCACTGTGTACGTGCGTACACCTGAGCCCCTCCGAAACGCAACTGAATGCAAACCGCGGGCCCCCACTGTACTCCTCCTCAAAGCCCCCGAAAACTCGGGGCCCCCACTGTGCTCCTCCTCGAATCAGAAGGCTGGCGGACGCTCCCCTTGCGTGCAGGACTCCGCGGCCCGCCTTGCAGTCGAGGTCGTAGGTCCCGTCCGGGTTGGCGCGCAAGACCTTGGCCTTCATGTACCCCTGCGGCGCAGAGAAGCAGTCAGGGAGAGGACCCAAAGACGAAGAGGGGCGATGAGAACCAGGAAGGCGCAAGACAAAAGGAGCCTCGGCGGGAGCGTGATAGAAGGGAGGGAAGACGAGAAGGAAGAGAACGCAAACGAGGGGGAGGAGCAGAAAAGAGGGTGATGAGGACGAGGGTGAGGGCGACAAAGAGGACGGAGAGGTGGGGGAGGTGAACGACGGCGGCGAAGAGGAGCACGACGACGGTGATGACGACCACGCTGCGGACGCCGGCAATTCGGAGGGCGCGCAAAACGTTTCCCGAACCACAACGACTCGAAAAGCCGAGCTTGGCGATGCTTGACTCTGGCTAGGACTAGCAAGTATTGCTGATCGCCCCATGGTTTCGGGAGGCCCGCTCATACATCAGGCAAGATTTCAGAGGGGACCTGAGTTAGGAGAGCTAACACATTAGGGATAAGGGTCTTTTCTGCAGATGTACGAGGCCAACAATCCCATATGTCTTATGCCTAATGCGCAGACTGGGTCCTCAGTGAAGCAACGTCTTCATCGCCTTATCAAGGTTAGTGGTTCCTTTGTTCTCGATGATGAAAGACATTGTTTGAAGTCCTTTGGTTTTCCACTCTCAGGCCACTGCCTGCCCAGATGCCCCCCGCACATTGCAAGAGATGGTGCGCGTTCGCTTGCCCAAGAGGTTTACGGTGTGTCTCGGCGGCGAGCGAGGCGGGGGTGAGAAGGAGAAGGCCTTCTCGGAAGGCGGCGGGACTCCTCGGAAGCCCTCGCGCCCTCCGAGAAGTTATCCTTCTTTCTTCGGGGAAGGCTCCGAAGAATTCTCTGAAAGCTGGGGGACCTTCGAACCCTAAGCCTTTTCCTTCTCGCTGACCCCCCCCTCGCTCGCCGCCGGGTGCCTTCTCCCCGCGCGCGCGGAGGCCCCTCGGGGGCCCCCGGACGAGAAACACACCCCCGGGCACCCCCGCCCGACGCTCCAGGAGGAGGAGGAGGAGGAGGAGGAGGAGGAGGAGGAGGAGGAGGAGGAGGAGAAGGGGGAGGGGGAGGAGGAGGAGGACGATGATGAAAGACATTGTTTGAAGTCCCTTGGTTTTCCACTCGCAGGCCACTGCCTGCCCAGGCGCTCCAGGAGCGCTCCGCGGGGTGCACGCAGGAGGCCGACGCGCCGTGCGCCGTATGCGCCAGACCGCTGCGCCTGTTCGGAGGCGGCATCCCTGTTCGGGAAGGGGGCAGCGGGGGGGGGAGGGGGAGGGGAAGGGAGGAGGGGGGTGAAATTGGGGGGGGGAGGTGTTCCTGAGCGGGGGGGGCAATCAAACGTGGGGTGCAGAAGCGCGTGCACTTCGTGCACCTGTCGGGCCCGCGGCCGCAGGTCAGGAAGTCCTATTCAAGGGAGCAAAAGTGACATAAACATAACAACTCGGAGGTCCGCGCGGATTTCTCGGATCGGCGCCGGACCCCCCTCCCTGGCGCGCGGAGCGCGCCAGGGGCGGCGCCGGAGGCGCCGCAAGGGGGGCCCCAGCGCCGATCCGAGAAATCTGCGCGGACCTCCGAGTTGTTGTTTATCCGACCAGCCATAACTGGGGGAGCTGTGATCCTTACCCCCTGGGGGAACCCATCGCCTCGACGATCTCTCGAGAGGGGTGTCGAAATCGATGGGTCCCCCAGGGGGGTAAGGACCACAGCTCCCCCAAATGTGGCTGGCCTGTTTATGCCACTGTTTGTTCCCCTACCATTGGCGGAGCACCTGCCGCGCGCGGCCCCGACCCTCGCTCCCGCCCTGGCCGCCACGCCGTCCGAGTGTTTCAGCAGGGACCGACCGTCCCGGCATTCCTATAGTCCTACCACGAAATGTTCTTAGAACCCAGAAATGTTCTAAGAACAAAAGCAATGCTCTTAGAGCATAAACCCGATGTGTTCAAACAAGACAGCCTCCGCCAGAAATGTTCTAAGAACATTTCGTGGGAACCACACAAGGCTCTGAGAACATTGTTTGGTAGTGCTATAGGCGAGCCAGCACGCTTCGCCACTGCTTGAGAGCGTCGACAAGCAACGCTCCCTGCGCTCCGTCCCCCCACGGGGCCACCGGCTGCCGGCAGCCGGGCGGCTCCAAAAGGCCCCGCCGCCCAGGAGGTCCTCCGGCGCTGCCCACCGAGGCCCACCCAGACCTGCACGGTTTCACGGTTTCCCCTGGGGCCGTAGGCGACCCGAGGAGGAGGAGGAGGAGGAGGAGGAGGAGGAGGAGGAGGAGGAGGAGGAGGAGCAGGAGGAGCAGGAGGAGCAGGAGCAGGAGCAGGATGGAAGGAGGAAGAGGAGGAGGAGGCGGAGGAGGGGGAGTGGGAGATGGAGGGGGATGAACACAGCGCGGGTGGCAGGTGACGCCATCATGGAAAGTTGTGAAGATGTGGAGGTACGTTGGGCCCCCCTCTAGGGACGTCTTCGTTGGCCGAGGGTCCCTAGAGGAGTCCTCGGCCCTGTCCAGTAGCTACTGATGCCTTCTCATGAAAAGGTGCGGGGGGGGACCCACGCAGTCACTAAGGTTGAAACTGCGCGGGGTGTGAGGCCTATTGACGGTCCTCACGGGTGAAGCCTAAAGACGGTCCTCACCCGGGGGGGTCAAGGGGGAGGGCGCAAGCGCTTCTCGGCAAGGTGGTTCCTGCTGATGGTCCTCAGGCGGGATTTCTGAAAAAGGGACCCCAAACTGCATGCACAGCTTCGACTCCGAATCAAAGTATGCCTTGCGCACTCGGGGAAGAGAAGGAGGGGGGAGGGGGAGGGAATTGTCCGTCCCCGCTGCTGGATTCACCTCCAGGGAAGGGGAAAGCGGCACGCAACAACTGATGGCCGAAAACGTGCACTTGAATTCCCGGCAGGGTGCTCATCTGTACCGAGCGCGTGGGGGGCCCCATTTTGCTAATTGAAGTCGCGGCCGGAAATGAACAAGGGTAGCCATGGTCGGTGGCGGCCAGGCGGCGGAGGCGGCGTGTCCTGACACGGGTGCTATTGGGCCTGAGGCTGGCTCGTGAACGGGGTCGGAGAAACCCCCCCCGCCAAGGAGGAGGAGGAGGAGGAGGAGGAGGAGGAGGAGGAGGAGGAGGAGGACGGGTCGCATGAGCCCCTTGGAGAAACACTCCACCCTGACCTCCAGGCTGCGGCACTTTCACACCTCCAAGCTGCGGGCTCCCGGCTCAACCCGGCCTGAGCGTCCACGCACCAGCCTGACGAGAGAACGTCGCCGTGCGCGCCTTCGCGCCCCTCGGCGGCGTGGGCTCGCCACGCGGGGCCGCCACTTTTTTTGTCGCCTCGCGGAGGTAGGTTTTTTCTGTCTCTCCCCGAGATGCCCGAGGCTGCGAAGCCAGGTCACCTGGAACACGACAGGAACGGGGCCTTTACGCACCGTGGCCCGTGGATCCTGTGCGCTGGCCCTCGCGGGAGCGGCGCCGAGCTGACAACGAGGGCGCCTGCGCGCCACCTTATGCTGGCGGCTTGCGCGCGAAAGTCCGCGCAGTCGACCCCGCTGTCCTGCATCCCTCACTGGAGGAGGAGGAGGAGGAGGAGGAGGAGGAGGAGGACGAGGAGGAGAAGGAGGAGGAGGAGGAGGGGGAGGAGGACGGAGAGGGAGGAGGAGGAGGAGGAGGAGAGGAGGAGGAGGAGGGACCGGAGGAGGGAGGAGGAGAGGGAGGCGGAGGAGGAGGAGGAGGAGGAGGAGGAGGAGGAGGAGAGGAGGAGCAGGAGCAGGAGCAGGAGGAGGATGGAAGGAGGTGGAGGCGAGGAAGGAGGATGAGGATGAGGATGAGGATGAGGATGAGGAGGAGGAGGAGGAGGAGGAGGAAGAAGAAGAAGAAGACTCGGCCTTGCGCGTGGTCTGTGCCGAACCCTGACCGCGCGTGAACCCGTGCAATCAGAGCCCTACCTCGAACGATCATCGAGCGAGAGCGATGAGGTCGTGAGTAGCGCGCGCCGTGCAGCCTGTCGTACGTGCTCGTACCCAGGCAGTCGCAAATCGTGAGACCCCTCGAGGGCTGGGGGGGACACCCCACTGGCCTCCCAGTGCCGAGCCCACGTCGCTGCGGGCGACGGGCAGGCCTCCGAGGCACCCGCCCCGCCCCGAGGAGGGACCCACACTCCAGCAAGCGACGGACGAAAGGGGAACGACGCGGGAGAGAGGGCGACGAGGCGAGAGGGCGAGGCCAAAGCAGGAGAAGAGCAGAGGAAGCAACGGAGGGGAGTGTGGGTCCCCGAATTCTGGAAGATAGCCACTCCGAGGAAGACAGTGAGGAGTGCGCGGGGCCGGGGAGCAACGGTGCGAGGGTCACTAACGGCGCACCGCCGGGCAGTCCCCACTCGCACCGCGCCCCCCGCTCGGCGCGGCCTAGAGGAACGGGGCCTCGGGCATCGAGGTCACGTGGCAGTCAGGTACTCGGTGGTGGTCAGCGCGGGCGTGCACACAAAGCCGCGAATGCACCACATAACATCATCAAAGAACGAGAAAGAGCGCGCAGACGCCGAAGTCGGGCGGCGGCATCAGGTACGTGGGTGCGAGGAGGACGTATGGACCAGCCCGTCTGAGTATGTACTGTCAAGTATCTGTAAAAAGTAAGTGTCCATCTGAGCCAACTGTGAGCAGTCAAGTAAGACGAGGGGTTCCGTCTCATAGACTTGAAGCACGAGTCGGCGGGAGTCCACCAACCTCAGATCCTCCGGTACACAACGCTCCTTCGGAAAGATAGTTCGTGAACTCAGAATATGGAGGTGCTGTCCACGTCCGTCATACAATGTCATTCTGCGAGAGTTCCCGTGCTCTGATGCGGGCAAAGAGGGCAGCCCGACGAGCCTCCCACGGGGCGGGGACCGAATCTGGCTTACTTACTTCGCGCCCTTGCCCTTGCTCTTTTGCTTCGTCTTGTCGAGGATGCGCTGCGCCATGGTCTCCAAGTGCCCCTGAGGGGCGGTCCCGAGCTTGAGCTTCGCGTCCTCCAGCTGGGCTAGCTTGA